AGTTCTGCTACTGTTTTTTGCTTCTGTTTTAAGATGGGTACTATAAATACATTGGATCTGGTTTGTTTAATCACCTCATCCTTGCACAGTATAATAGCCTGGCTGCCACATGTGTCTCTTTATCATAATGGAAGCAAGTAAAAATTTCTTCAATGGAGTTACATCCACTAGAAGTAACTTTTCCTACACTTTTGCTATTCTCCATGTTTTCAGCTATGACAGAGACACTCAAAGCTTTACGTTAGTTAGCTTGCTAATAGCTGTTTCTATGTGTAGATCTCCCTCTTCCTTACACATACAGTCTGAATGAGATTGCATCTGTCATCACTGAGATGGATTCAAGAGTCTTGCATGATAGCAGGAGGCAGCAGATTTTTTTAAAGAAGATTATTACATCTTTTCAAATCATAAATATAGGAAGCGTTTGAAATGGCGTTGAAGAATTGCATGTGTGAGCTTAAATCCCATTCCAGGGAATAGTCCATTTTTTCATGTCACTACTTTCAGAAAGCCTCACTGAGGAGTTAGGACTTATTTACTATGAATTTAGGTATCAGTATCAGACTGTCAAAATGAAGGGCAATAAGGGATAGAGAAATGGGTCCCCCAAATTAATCCTTTCCATCCCTCTACACAGGTATAAGGACCACCTTTTAAAAAATGGCAGCAATATACTAGGTTTTGTTTCTGGATGCTGCATTCTGCTTTTTGAAATTCAGCTCCTTTAAAGTGTCAAACTGAGCATCCAACATCACTGGTCACTTTGGAAATTCTTGGTTTAGTTTTGTACTTTATGTTAAAGTTAGTATTTAAAAGTAAGTAAGCAATAACTGAGTAATGAGTAAATCAGAGGCTATCAAGGAGCACTTTAGTATTTCATTTATCTTACGCTTCAACAGTCGCCTTCATGTCAGTTTCTTTTAGATACTTTATGACTTGTATATCTATAGAATTATAGGCATAGAAAAATCCTCTTTAGTCCATCTTCTGGCCCAGTCAAAATTTTTCCTATTGCATTCTTTGTGTGAGTGATAGTAACCATTATTTTAATGGTGCTTTCAAACACTATAAACTTGGATCTGGCCCCTGGTTTCATGTCAGGCCTTCACTGCTGTGTTTTACTAACTAATCCCTTGCTTATTTGACAGATTTAAAATGACAGTTTGGCCATACTGTTTGGGTTTTTCCCAATATTTTCAGTGTTGAATGACTGTGTGGCAAACAGTTATGCTTTCTGAGCTGTCTTCAGATATCTGCTGAATGCTGTAGTGTTTGATCCCTGCAGTTACTTTGTTTATAGAACATTTGATGGAAGGTGGTTCACAAAACTTCAGATTTGTGCTTTGGGATTTGAAAATACTTCCAGAAAATTTTTCATGTTAAAAAGCTGTTTCTGTCATGTCTCTTTTTATTTACTGTGATAATTTCTATGGCTATTGATTTTAAGTTTTGCCTAATCCTTTGGACAGGCAGATAACATTACATACCTTAAGCATGCAATGCTTCAAGTGCAAGAGGGGTTTTGTTTGCTGCTAAGGAGCTTTACTAAATAAATTTACAAACCATAAATGATTTCTCCCTGTAGATCAGGAAACAAGCTATTTTTATATTTTATAATTTCTAAGCATTTGCTGGATTATTAATGTACATGGTGGATAAAAGGAGGTCCTAGATATCAAATATTGAATATGTAGACTCTCATCCTCTACTCCTTCCAGTGGAACATCTCTGCTGACTTTGGGGAAGAGCCACATCAGATGTGTCAGTATAAAACTAAGAGTAGAATCAGACCAACAAACCCGATTGTGACTGTTCTCTCTGCAGGAAATTCCAGTGATCTGTCGTAGGTTCAGTTAACGCAGCTGTTGCAGACATCTGTCTCTGCCTGTGAATTGTTTGATGATGTCCTCTGACTTATCAAAATCCAAGGAATTACTTGTATCCAGTTATTCTTACTCTGAATTTTTTGAAAACTATGAGCTAGCCTTTGTATCTCTACTGGCTTGTTGTTCCCTCTCTGTAATCCCTCAGTTGAAAACTTCCCTCTCCAACATATAAATCTGCAGAAGAAAGCTTATATGAAAGAAAATTCAGTGAGGAAATCTTACTTGGAAGATCAGCACAGATTTAGCCTGCAAATCAGAGATTTCTCACAGTTTTGGTGATCTCAAAGCAAGCAGGCTGCACATTTGGTTGGTAGAGCTGGTTTTTCCTTAGGAAACTTTTTGAAGAGTGAATGCGTTCTACAAATTCTTAATTGTAATATTTTATAGATCTCTATATATCTATAGTCACTGCTTAAATATGTACCTTCTGTGTGAGTGTGAATGTGTTTATACATTTTGATATTTCTATAAGCATACATGCTTATGTATTTTAGGTACCACTGCCATTTTCTCCTTCCTAAATCTAGACAGAGTTCTTTATCTTGTTCACTTTGTAGGCTCTTACAGTCTCTGATGGTTTTCCTACTTCATTCTTTCTCCTCCTGTGGCCTTTGGCAATGTTGCAACCAACCTTCTGGCTCAAGGCTTTCTCACTGGTACACTCTTTTTATAGGCTGTTCTTGCTTTTCTTTTTCTGGCTACTTGAATCATTGTTAAGCCGTAGCAGGAGTTGCAGGACCACGAGGACTAGAAAGTGTATGGTCATTATGGTGGAATAAGCTGTTTTCATATTCCTGTACTGAGTGGGAAATGGAATTGTCTTGGTAGAAAATACTGTAAAAATATAAACGCTGTAAATTCCTTGCATTTAAGCAGGCACATGCTGAATTTCTTTAAGCTCATGACTAGCCCTGTCAACTATTCACATAATTAAATTAAGTCTGGACCTCAGAGTTTTGTTTAGGACTCAGGAGTCCTAAAATTATTAATTTAATATCACATCGTCCACATGTATCTGTGGTGTGTTGACCCTGACTGGACACCAGGTGCCCACCAAAGCCATTTTACCACTCCCCTCCTCAGCTGGAAAGGGAAGAGAAAATATAACAGAAGGCTCATGGGTCAAGATAAGGGCAGGGAGATCATTCAGCAGTTACCATCATGGGCAAAGCAGACCTGACTTGGGGAAATTAGTTTAATATATTAGAAATCAGGTCAGAGTAGGCTAATGAGAAATAAAAACAATCTTAAAACACTTTCTTCCCAGGCTCCTTTCTTCCCAGGCTCAACTTCACCCCTGATTTTCCCTCCCTCTATGCAGCACAGGGGGCAGGGGGTGGGGGTTGTGGTCAGTTCATCACCCCTTGTCTCTGCCGCTCCTTCCTCCTCAGGGGCAGGACTCCTCACACCCTTCCCCTGCTCCCGTGGGGTCCCTCTCACAGCAGACAGTCCTCCATGAACTTCTCCAACGTGAGTCTTTCCCACAGACTGTAGCTCTTCATGAACTGCTCCAGCGTGGTTCCCCCGTGGGGTCACAAGTCCTGCCAGCAAACCTGCTCCAGCCTGGGCTCCTCTCTCCACAGGGCCACAGGTCCTGCCAGGAGCCTGCTCAGCGGGGGCTTACCACGGGGTCACAGCCTCCTTCGGGCATCCCCCTGCTCCAGCGTGGGCTCCCCCACAGGCTGCAGATGGAGGTCTGCTCCCCCATAGACTTCCACGGGTGCAGGGCACAGCTGCCTCACCACGGTCTTCTCCATGCAGGGGAACCTCTTCTCTGGCACCTGGAGCATCTCCTCCCCCTCCTTCACTAAACCTGGTGCCTGCAGAGTAATTTCTCTCAGATATTTTCACTCCTCTTCAGCTGCAGTTGCACAGGGGTTTCTCTCCCCCTTCTTAAATGTTATCCCAGAGGTGCTACCACCCTCACTGATGGGCTTGGCCTTGGCCAGCGGTGGGTCTGGCTTAGACCTGGCTGGCACTGGCTCCATCAAAATGGGGGAAGCTTCCAACAGCTTCCCACAGAAAACTCACAGCCCACCTGCTACCAAAATCTTGCCACACAAACCCAATACAGTATCATATAAGCCATAAGAACATATGGCACAACAATACAGTATCATCTAAGCCAATACAGAACACATAAGGCATCCTGTGTAAAGAAAATGCAGTAGGTAACTTCTAGGGGGATGTTAGACTAGCAGAACTGAGGTTTTGCACTGTTGACATACAGAGGGAAAAGAAACTAAGTATTGTTTGAGTTGAGGAACTGTTATGTGACTGTTCAGATTGTAACAGACTTTGATCAATTTAGGTAATGCCACATTTATTCCAGTCACTTCTGTATTCCCCTTCTGTCTCTTTTGTTGTGGATGACTGCAGATATTTTTAATAACTTACAAATAGCCCTTTTATTTTTCATGTGTTACCAGCACAGATAGACCCAGATGCAGCTAGAATGGACTGTATAAAAGTGTCACAGTGTCTCTAAATGAAGAAAAGTCCTTTCAGACCCAACACATTTCCCATTTGTTGCCTCGATAAATAATTAAAGATCTGGTTTAAAATATATATATATATATATATATATATATATATTGCCCGCTTGTGCTCTGATAGATTTTTCTGACCCTGGAATGGAGGAAGAGGCTTGTAAGCCAGATTGTTAATACAGATCTGTCTTAAAAGGACTCAGAATTAGACACCAAGAAAATGGCTCTGGGAAGTAACAAACTCCCAGTTACAGTAAAGGTCAGACCTTGGGTCTTTGTCCTTGGACCAGCACAGCACTGCAGGGCATCCTACCAAACTCTGCAACTTTTTAATGTGCATATTTCATCCTGTGCAAGAAGAAATGTGCATGATTCCCAGTAGCTGTAAGGAAAAATTCACTACAAATCAAATCACACTAGGCATCAAGGTAAGGAAAGAAATGTAGCGCTTTCCATTGTAGCCAGCTGCAGTTATAGTGACAAGGTATCTCAAATTCAGTCCCTTCAAACATTCTCGTTAAGAAATGAACCCTTAGGTTGACATGTCTTAACTGTGATCCATGCAAAATAACACATTTGTGTTGGGCAGTTTTTTAACACGTAACACTTTTTTTTTTCTTGTTAGGCTGGATTCTGGATGCTGCAAGGCTGTCATGTCAGGATGCTGCAAGGAGTTACATCTTCTTACCGTAGAGTTGGTGAAGTTTCCTTGTGTTCAATACAATGTTTATCGACAGAAAACGGATTTATTTGCTTTGCGGTTTTCTTGTTGCTGTTGTTTTTAAAGGGGTTAACACTCTTAGTTCCATGAAACTGAAACTAGACGTGAACAGAGGTTGGAGAGAGGGGGCAGGGAGAATCCCATGTACGAATCTAATGTGTCTCATTTGTGGGAAAACTAAATAAAGTGGGATTCAGCTGCCAGTGGCTAAATAGCAGCAATTTATGAGCTGCTCATCAAAAGCCCCAGACAAGCACTGAGTCCTGTGGGAAGCTGAAAATCGACACAGGGCACCTCCAGAAGACTCTGTTGTTGAAACTTATTTTAAACTTTTGTTTCAAGTGGAGGATCCAGTCCTGACAAATGCATAAGGTCAGCCCTTAGAAGAGCAAATAGCTTTCTCTGGAGAATCAAACAGGTGGCTAAGGTCTCTCCATTTGTCTGCCTGTCTTTTGGCCTTGGATTACTGTGCTATTCAAAACTGTGTTTTCATAACCCAGATAAATGGTAGACGATTCAGATAGCTCTACAAGTAGTAATCATGCTGCTCATGCAAAATATCTGATATCTAAGGGATGGGCCCAAACTAGAGGCATTTCTCATTTACCTATGAAGTGTCTTGCCTTAGCATATGTACAGTCAATTCTTGTGAACATTGAGTCCATTGCCTGCTCTAAAGGAGGTAGTGGCTTAGTTTCAGTGGCTGTAGAGTGTTTCACTGAATTAGCACTCTTTGTAGTCTTTCATGTGATTTAGAAGACACAATAGCCAGACAGTTCTGAAAATGTAATATAATTGTATGCAGCATTCCCAGAAAATGCTCTGAAGTCTTCTCCCATTGCACCATTGTGGTAAAAACCTCCGTTGCTCTTCAAGCTCCAAAAGCCCATGCTGTGCTGTGCCGTGCTGAAACTGGTAATAAATCCAATTAGTGCTGAAAAGTGAAGGGCAGAGAGGGGTGCTCTGGCCTGGAATCCCCTCCCTTTGGCAGCAGCAAAGGTCAGTCATGCAGCCAAATGTCCATAACCAAAGGTGAATCCACCCTGAGTGTGTTTCCAGCTCTCTGCATAGGAGAGTGGGAGGTGGGTAGGGAGAATTGATTCTGGGAGGTGAGAGACTGAGAGGAGGAGTGGAGTGAAGGATACCCTGAGCGTGATGGCTGCGATTTTCAGAAGGTACTCTGATGGGTGCTGGCCACCCAGCTTCCCTACCACTTTGTCAGTAACACCCTCTATCTTTTCATGAGCGACTTTTAGCCTGTTTGGCAGTTCTCACAGTCAGTGTGTGAGGGAAAAGGGGTAGAGGGCAGCTCACTCTAATTTGGCAACCAGCACCTGTAATAGCCTAGGACTGTAGTACTTCCTCGTGGCTGCTGGCATAGGGTCGGATCCTCTGATGAGCTGTGACTTGCTGGGCTTAAAGAAACCCTGAGGTGTCAGCTCCAAAGATGCTTTTGGAGTAGGTCTGCTCAGTAGTCCTGAGCGTGGATGTGAGCCCACAGTTCTTAGGAGGCAACATTCACTCCACGTTCATACTGTTTGAGCAAAAAAAATACAAACACCTTCTCTACACCTTAGTACAAGCCAGCTTGCAGTGTGGGACTTCTCTGAGTCACTGTGTGTCCTGATCCATCTGGCAAGGCCATGTGGCTGACCACGGGCAGTCAGAGCTGCCATGGACCCCTCTTGCAAGGGCAGTTATTTTCAGAGTCAACCTAAGCACAGACTGCCATTAGAAAGGTGTGAAGAAGTCTATGGGTACCCTTCAAATACATGGCATGCAGGTCAGAGACTTTAGACCATACTGTGTGCCAGCACGAACAGCAGGGATGTTAGTGACAGGATTGCTTTGCTTTGGCTGTGAAACCTTGCCCTCATGTGTTATTTCAAGGAAGACAGTTGAGATTTTCAGGCCAGATCATCTGGTGAGATAAGTGATTCCCGCTCCCTTATTGGAGCTAAGCTGATTTATACAAGTCTGGTCCAACATTTCTGAGAAATTGTGGCTGATAGGGGTTTTTTGTTTGTTGCACGGAAAACCTGAAGTCTTTCAAATGAAGTATATGAGCTAAACAGAACTTTTAGATGAAGCATGTGCTTTAGGCTGTTTGCTGGATTCAGACTTTGAGAATGTAAGTTCTTTGTAGAGAATCCCCCACACAGAGCGGGAGAAGACATTATGGGCTTGAAAGCTGACCAAGGAGATGGGACTGAACTGAGCTTTGAACAGCAATCATTGTCCTTACTGGTCTTGCCATAATAGTGCTTGACTCAAATCCAACATTGCACAGGCCAGAACTTGATGAAACCATGTAACTAGATATTTGTGATTGTTCCTATCAGTGTGATCCACTGTTAAATAGGGTAGACATATGAATAAAATCAATATTTTTTAAAGTGTGGTGTGGTTTTTATGTCAAAAAGACTGGTTTCACTCTTGGACTTTATATGGAAATATTTGATGTGGAATTAATTCAGCTTAGGACAGTTCACAGCCACGTGCAGAAGTACACCGTTTGCTCGTCGGAGGTGATTATTACAGTGCTGCACCGAACACCTGCCAGAGGGAAGGCAGCAAGAAGAGGGGCTCTGAAGAGGAGAACAGTGGCGGGGAACCCTTCTGAAAGTGTCGGGAAAAGTGAACGAGGGCAGCGGGGACTCGGCATTGGCGCAGACTGGAGTGATGATGCCCAACACCCCTCATGGACAAGAGCAGCCCCCAGGGAGCGTGAACAACCAGGAGCACATCGAACAGGGCGGGCAAACAGGGCGTGGTGCGTCGGAAGGGTGAGGCAGGTCAATCCGTGTGTCAGAGGGCATAGTCCCTCTCCTAGCTCTAGAATTTATTTGAGCTAGTTGTTATTTTATTGTCCTCCACGAGTAGACTGAACTATGGTCTCCACTTGGGTCAAAACCACCACCAGAAAGAACTGCAAGCATGCGGCAGTGCAGGTCCCGGGCTGCAGGGAGTGCCTGTGTCTGTCCGTTGTGTCGGAGGGCAGCAGGGACAGCACAGTGTGTGCTGTGACCAGCTGGATGACCTGCTCAGCCTGGTGGCTGAGCAAAAAGAAGAGGTTGAGAGATTAAAAAGTAGTAGGGAGTGGGGAAGGGACATTGATGGGTGAAGTAGCACCTTGGCACCCCTAAAGCAACAGGAGGAAATGGAGGCTCCAAACGGGGCAGGTGATCCCTCATCCTCTTGTGCCAGGCGGGTGGGGACCTAAGAGACGGGGGAGGCTGGAAACAGCTGTCTGCTCAGGGAGGCGAGAAAATCCTCTCCCCACCTCCCTCCCCCTCCATGGTGCCCCTTCACAACAGATCTTGGGCCCTGGAACTTTGAATGAAGTAGAGAAGGATGACAAAAATGAGTCATACAAGAAGGAAGATGAAGGTCCACCAAGGCCTGGTCACTCTAGACCAGGTGTTAAAACCAGTTCTAAAAAGAACCCCAGAAGGGTCATTGTAGTGGGTGACTCCATTCTGAGGGGTGTCAAAGGCCCCGTATGCAGACCAGACCCACTTCATAGGGAAGTCTGCTGCCTCCCTGGGGCCCGGGTGAATTACTCAATGGCAAAACTCCCCGCTCGAGTGAGACCCAAGGACTACTACCCTCTCCTGGTTTTTCAGGTAGGTAGTGACAATATTACCAGGAGAAGTTCTAAATCAATGAAGAGAGAAATCAGGGCTCTGGGGAAACTGATTAAGGGGTCAGGGGCACAAATTGTGTTCTCCATCCCTTCAGTTGCAGGGATGGATGAAGAATAATACAGGAGAACTCAGCAGATGATCTTGTGGCTCCGAGTCTGGTGTTTGGGGCAGGGCTTTGGATTTTTTGTCATGGGTTAGTATAGAGGATGCCAGACCTTTCAGCATCAGATAGGATACACCTGTCCCACAGGGGGAAAAGGATATTGGGGCAGGAGTTAACTGGTCTCATTGAGAGAGCTTTATACTAGATTTGCAGGGGGAAGGGGACAAAACTAGAACTCCCAGACATAAGCCCCAGGATAGATTACCGGTGTTTGTGGGCTGTTGTGCCAGCGATAACCTACACCTTGCCATCTCAGTGGAGGCAAGGGATGGAGCACACGCAGCACAACAAAGATGCAAGGGATATTGATGGATCAGTAACTGTGGTAACACCTGTGAAACGTCAGGCTGGACTTAGGAACTCTAAATGCAAAAAGGTACTGGGGACATCAGCTCATCTGAAGTGCATCTATACCAATGCACACAGCATGGGTAACAAACAGGAGGAGCTTGAAGCCGTGATGAAACAGGAAAATTATGATGTAGTGACTATTACAGAAACATGGTGGGATGTTTCCCATGACTGGAGTGCACCGGTTAGTTGATGGCTACAAGCTCTTTAATGAAGTAACAAGTGATAGGACAAGAGGTAATGGCCTCAAGTAGTGCCAGGGAAGGTTTAGACTGGATATTAGGAAGCATTTCTTACCAGAAGGGGTTGTTGGGCGTTGGAATGGGCTGCCCAGGGCAGGGGGGTGTCCCCATCCCTGGAGGGGTTGAAGAGTCGGGCTGAGCCAGTGCTGAGGGATCTGGGGGAGTTGGGAACTGTCAGTGTGAGGTTAATGGTTGGACTGGAGGAGCTTCAAGGTCTTTTCCGATTTAGATGACTCTGTGATTCTGTGACTCTGTAACTTGGCATGTCCTCCTCCTCCTAGTCCTGCAGGGTGGTCCCTCCGGCCTCTGATGTGATTGATCTCATGGCTAGTGATCAGTATAGTGCTGGGGGTGGGGGAGTGGGGGGTTGTCTCATCACACCTACTGCTGCTGCCTCTGTCCCTCCCCTTCTTGCCTCATGGCCCTACAGATACCAAAGGATGGATGCATTTTAACAGACTTTCTCCATTTCTATACAATGTCTGGCTCCATTCCCCCTTGCCCAAGAAAAGATATGTTTGAAGGTACCCCTGAGGTGCTTTTGCATCTCCCAGATTCTGTGTCTTGTTTGAAACCTAGGCAAAATGTAGATGACTCAGGCACTTCTCTAAGTCTTGCCACCTCCCAGGAGAGCTAGCTTGCTCCATCAAGCTCACCCCATCTGAGAACATGCAACGGTAATCTCCAAATTACTCCTCACATCTTTTGCTTGTTCCTTGACTTCACAGCCACAAAAGTCCATGTACATGGAATTTATCCAGAGAGGAATTCTGTCTTCCTGCAAATACCCTGAAAGAGGGTGATGAGACAGCAGTCAAGGGAAATGCCAGACCCTGTTTCCCTCACTAGACGCAGTGGTCTGTATCTCGCTGAATGAAGCAAGGGCAATGGTTCACACACAGCATTTATTTTCTTCTAGCTTGACACTGTCACAGCGCTGTTACTAGTGAGTATATTGTGCTCATCTGCTCCCTGTCACTCATCCAAACACCTGACCGTCTAATCACAGCCTCTCACACCATTATATAAGGTCCTTGGATGTCTTTCTAGTTCCTTGAGCCCTGGACTCTCACTTTCAAATTTGAGTTCACACTCATCATTTTTTTTTTGTCTTACAAAGCCTTTGTTCTCTCAGCTGCCTTATTTCAAATCACAGTCTCAGCCTGACACCACTTGCCTACTTACTTCATCTCTTTGCCTTCTTCTTTCACTCCAAATGATTCTTGACTCCTCTTTTGGAGGAAAGAGGAAAGTTACTGTCTGAAAAAGTTCTACATTAGAGTGAATGATACAAATGCAATTAAAGAACCAAAACATATTTTGGTTCCCACTGTCACAGGCACTATCACTGCCAACCCTGCATCAGCAGTGGTCAAAACCTGTAGCAACACGTAGAAATGAGATTGCTCACAACTGACAAAGCATTTTACAGGTGAATGCATTATGTCCGGATATGTTATATCAGATAAATCATCTTATGTTCAGCCCCCAAAAAGTCAATTATAACTAATTCAAATCTAGTCAATGTCCAATGATGCAAACCCCCTTATCTCCCCATCACCACCACCTCTCCCCCTTTTCTGTTTACTAAGTAAAATACAAAATGGTCCTAGGAAAAAAAAAAAAAAAAAAAGGTTTTCCTATGAAAACGTACATTATATCCAGCAGGCAACAAAGATCTGAAGTACTGCCAATGGAGGAGTGGTCGTCTTGGCTTTCTCAGGCTGCATGTAGGCAGTCACTCATCAGAACTGTAAAGGATGATGGAGACAAAAGTATTTCTAGTCAGGCTGTAAGCCTAGCCCTGACC